AATAGCTAGTGAAATGGAGGTAGCTTCTGCATCAGGGAATATTCAAAGACTATTTCACCTGATAAGCAGCACCGGAAGTCGTCGCATACCGGTCAGTGAGGTCATTTGCGATAAAAGTGGACAAAGCATCCACAATAAAGAACAATGACTTGATCGCTGGGCAGAGTATTTTAGTGGACAGTTCAATAGGCCTAGTGCTGATGTGGTCATTCCAGCAATTGCGGCGGAAACTCCATAGGTGGTAATATGCGACGAGGATGATGATGAGGATGGGGATGAGGATGGGGATGATGATAAGGATGATGAGGATGATGATGAGGAGGAGGAGGAGGAGGATGTTGAAGATGATAATGATGAGGATGAGGAGGAGGAGGACGAGGATGATGATGAGAATGATGAGGATGAGGATGAGGATGACGGTGGTGAGGATGATGAGGAGGAGGATGATGATGAGGTTGATGATGATGATGATGATGACGAGGATGTTGAGGAATGAGGATGATGATGACGATGACGATGAAGATGATGAGTATGAGGATGAGGATGGTGGTGGTGATGATGCTGCGCTTTGCACCTTCATAGTGCAGGGATGCTGAAGGACTGGGTGTCGCCTATTTCCGCTCTGATGCTAACTGCCGGGATTTAGTTGTAGCGGATTATTTGTCTGACTTAGGTAGTTTGTTGACCAATGACGGTGGTGCAGCAAAAGATCACCGCCCGCATTTCCTAGGCTCGAGCAGCAAATGCAGGACTGAACTACCGTTGACGTAGACGCGAAGTTTCACTGAAGTTGAAAAATCGTCTTTATGGTACCACCGTTCGTTCAGTTCTGCTTTATGGCTTTGAGACCCCGAATTTGCAAGTGCAAGATATCCGTCGACTTGAAGTTTTCGATTATCGTTGCTTACGTAGTTTAGCCCATGTTGGATGGAGCGAACGGGTTAGTAAGATGGGGTAAGTCGTCGTGTGTTTGGGAGTTTATCAGAGATAAACCTGCTATCACATCGGATTCAGAATAGTAAACGTCGCTGGCTAGGGCACGTATTGCATGTGCCCAGCTGTCGTTTGCCGCACCACGTCTTATTCACTGTAGCTAAGCCGGGCTTGAGGAAACCACGTGGAGGTCAACATATGACGTAGAGACGAGGCATGAAGAAATGCACAGAGCCATTAGGTAGAGTAGGTGTCTCTCACATTCCAGGTTGGAGTCCGAAAGACTCCACAACTGGTTGGTTGGAGACATTGAAGGATATTGCAACGAACCGATAGCAGTGGAGTTCTTTTTGT